GAAGTCTATTATGCTTACAATCTAGAATAACTGTTTTCTATTTGAATACATGGTAAAATGTAATTTATTCCTGTGATCAAAGCTGAATATTCAGCATCATTCCTCCAGTCTTCAGTGTCACATGATCCTTCAGAAATCATTCTAATATGATGATTTGCTGCTCAAGAAACATTTAGCTTAATATTTAGTTCTCCTTAACCCCAGACCAACCTGCTATTACATACTTTTGTTAAATGTCCTGTAGATTTTATAATTTACAGTTGGTCTTTCTCCATCATATACTGAAAAACAAGACTCTGTTTATGTTGTGAATCAAGGACACCTGTGCTGGTGCTTGTGGGTAGAACGATCACATGTGTGATATTTTCTAATTTTACCCCTCTCCCCACCTCCACCCACCCTTGCAAATTCCTATAATTGCCCTGAAACCATAATCTTTCCACTATCACTTTGTGGTCAGCAATGCACCAAAAGCACTGTTTTCAGTGTGTCATAAGACATGGAGCTCAGTTTTGTTGGTGAGGTGAAATTCCTCCACAGTCCATAAATATCTGGAGCAACAACCAAGAGACACACACTGACCGCTTTCTCATTGGCAACATCTTCAGCCAGCACCCACTGCTCAAAGCACTCAAGGTAAAATTTTAATTTTCCTCTGTTAGCCTATGTTTATATATGGTGAATGTGATTTTGGTGAACGTGATTTCACCAAATAAAACGTGTTCGTGGATCAACCTCATTGTTAACATTCCAATTAACCAATCAGATTTGAGGGATATTTACAGTTAATGTCAAGTTTAGGCTTACAACAAGTGCTCTGGTTCCCCCCAGAATCCAAAAACATGCAGTATAGATGAATTGGAGATACTAAATTGTCTGTAAGTGTGAATGTGTGTGTGTGAGGGTTGGTGAAAGACCAGGCAACCTACCATGCAAGGAAAAAATCATTGACAAGAAAATACATGTCTCTATGGCAAGAGATGGCCCATAGAATCACCAAGAGATACGACTGAAATGGTTAATGAATTAATATTGTTATTCATTGTTTTAGTACTCTTGTAAATATGATGATGCTAAAAATAAAGGGCTTGTAAAGTAAACAATTAAGGCCATACAACCTTTGTACTTTGTGTTGTCCCCCATCTTGAGTTCAAAGAACTTATGGATCAATACAGTAATTGCACACATTGTATATCAATTAAGAAAAAAAGATTATGGAAGATAACACAAAGTAGATCAGAGCTCACACAGTTACACACACATTAAAACTATAACTGCACACCAGTCAGCAGCTTAATCCAATGGACCAGTCTTAACAGTTAACAAACTGTTTAAAAACCTTTTAGAGAGAGAGAGAGAGAGAGAGAGAGAGAGAGAGAGAGAGAGAGAGAGAGAGAGAGAGAGAGAGAGAGAGAGAGAGAGAGAGAGAGAGAGAGAGAGAGAGAGAGAGAGAGAGAGAGAGAGAGAGAGAGAGAGAGAGAGAGAGAGAGAGAGAGAGAGAGAGAGAGAGAGAGAGAGAGAGAGAGAGAGAGAGATATATGCATTTATTAAAGTGATGTGATGAACCGTCCGATTCTAATTCTCGAACGGTTTACTGCTGCTTTGGTTATCTCAAAGGAACATGACAAACCTTAAAATCTAATTGGCAGATGCAGTAAATTCGCACTCTAATTGCTTTATAGTTACTGCAGTAAATTCGCACTCTAATTGCTTTATAGTTACGTTATCTGAAAATACTGTTGATACGCTTATCACGTATATTGTAGGGGCATACACAAGCTCACACATCACTGATCTACTGACATAATTCACACATCACCGACACGCAACGACGCAAGCATATTTGACACGTCCCCTTTAAGAAGGAGTTGTTGAGAGTTTTGGGGGTGGTAGTCATGCGCGTTTTCTGCATAGACTGTAAAAAAAGTTTTCTGACGCATAACTTTAATAATAATAAAAAACAACACACAAGGCTATTGTTGTTCTCTCACACTGCAATCCTGCCTCCGTGTATTTTTGATAGCTCAAAAAGCTACAGTATCAGTTTAGCAATCTACTTGATAAGATGCCCACCAAGCGATTTAACCTGCGGTTCGAACTTTGTACGGACTATTTCATTTACCCTCTCCCTGATGCAAGAGGTGCATGTTCGAGCAATTCATACGTTAACATTATGTTGACGAGATAATAACAGAAGAATACAAAAGACAATAAAGATACGAGTCAAATGGCCGGACCTGCATAGCAGCATTTGACCAGCTGTTTAAATAATAATAATACTAATCATCACTATTTTATATATTTTTGTTTGTTTTGAATGTATATGTATTTACAATTGTCATATGTAAATATACCGCTGGAAACTTCCGAGCGTTACTGTTAGGCTATAGCTAAAGTGAACGCGAATTGTATTCTGTTCTGTTCGGGAGCATATTGGCGTCAGGGAACGTTTGAAACGCGGTTGAAATGTAGGCTACCCCCTAAAAAAACCTAAAATAAAATATGTTTTACGGTTCGCACCATTTATTTATTCATTCATTCGTTTATTTTAAACGAGACAAGGTCTGTATATGCAACGACGCCTCTGATCATAGATCACCGTTCAAGTAGGTTAATCAAAACTAATCAAGTAGCCTACCAAAGCGAACCAGGCTATGTGAGATGTGTTAGAAGTGTCGGTATGAACGTCGTTAGGCAGGCTGGGGCTCCACTGACATTGCAGAGCATATCTACAGTAGCCTACTACATTGCTGTTTTCTTTAGGTTGATGAAAGTCTGGGGGGAAATTAGGACACGCTAGTGATCTCTCGGTAAGCAACCTTGTTCCCTTCATCTACATTTTTGGCATGTCTTTGCAGTATATTGTGGTGTAAAAAAACACTTTTGTGAGTGTGTCTAGCAAATGGGTTCATTATAATATATATATATAACATGTTTCACTTATTGCACTTTCGCATTATTGGAGCACTATAAAACCAAGTTTTGAACACGACTTAAGCACATCAAATTCCCAAACACTTATATATATATATATATACACTCACCGGCCACTTTATTAGGTACCCCATGCTAGTAACGGGTTGGACCCCCTTTTGCCTTCAGAACTGCCTCAATTCTTCGTGGCATAGATTTAACAAGGTGCTGGAAGCATTCCTCAGGGAGTTTGGTCCATATTGGCATGATGGCATCACACAGTTGCCGCAGATTTGTCGGCTGCACATCCATGATGCGAATCTCCCGTTCCACCACATCCCAAAGATGCTCTATTGGGTTGAGATCTGGTGACTGTGGAGGCCATTTTAGTACAGTGCACTCATTGTCATGTTCAAGAAACCAATTTGAAATGATTAGAGCTTTGTGACATGGTGGAAGTAGCCATCAGAGGATGGGTACATGGTGGCCATAAAGGGATGGTCATGGTCAGAAACAATGCTCAGGTAGGCCGTGGCATTTAAACGATGCCCAATTGGCACTAAGGGGCCTAAAGTGTGCCAGGAAAACATCCCCCACACCATTACACCACCACCACCAGCCTGCACAGTGGTAACAAGGCATGATGGTTCCATGTTCTCATTCTGTTTACGCCAAATTCTGACTCTAACATCTGAATGTCTCAACAGAAATCGAGACTCATCAGACCAGGCAACATTTTTCCAGTCTTCAACTGTTCAATTTTGGTGAGCTCTTGCAAATTGTAGCCTCTTTTTCCTATTTGTAGTGGAGATGAGTGGTACCCGGTGGAGTCTTCTGCTGTTGTAGCCCATCCGCCTCAAGGTTGTGCGTGTTGTGGCTTCACAAATGCTTTGCTGCATACCTCGGTTGTAACGAGTGGTTATTTCAGTCACTGTTGCCCTTCTATCAGCTCGAACCAGTCTGGCCATTCTCCTCTGACCTCTGGCATCAACAAGGCATTTCCGCCCACAGAACTGCCGCTCACTGGATGTTTTTTCTTTTTCGGACCATTCTCTGTAAACCCTAGAGATGGTTGTGCGTGAAAATCCCAGTAGATTAGCAGTTTCTGAAATACTCAGACCAGCCCTTCTGGCACCAACAATCATGCCACGTTCAAAGTCACTCAAATCACCTTTCTTCCCCATACTGATGCTCGGTTTGAACTGCAGGAGATTGTCTTGACCATGTCTACATGCCTAAATGCACTGAGTTGCCGCCATGTGATTGGCTGCTTAGAAATTAAGTGTTAACGAGCAGTTGGACAGGTGTACCTAATAAAGTGGCCGGTGAGTGTATATATATATATATATAAGTGTTTGGGAATTTGATGTGCTTAAGTCGTGTTCAAAACTTGGTTTTATAGTGCTCCAATAATGCGAAAGTGCAATAAGTGAAACATGTTAATGTGATGAACTACACCCGCTGAACCTGACTTCATACGTCCTTTAAAAATACCTTAAGTGACAGTTCACTGAAAAAAAAATGTGTCATCATTTACTCACCCTCATGTCGTTCCAATAAACCCTAAGACTTCCGTTCATCTTCAGAACAGAATCTTTTTGATGAAATCTGAGAGCGTTGTCACTTAGTTCTCTATAAGTCACAACTGACGTGTGAGTTGATGAATGTTTATGTGAATAAAATTAAATCTGTTCGTCATAAAGTGATCGAGTCTCTTCAGAAAATGTGGACTAAACCATTCAAATATGGATTAGTTTTATGAACTTTTTGAAGCGTCAAAGTTGGCTGTCAACAATGAGGAGATTTCAACAAAAGATCTTCATGTCGTTCCAAACCCGTAAGACTTTCGTTCATCTTCAGAACACAAATGAAGTAAACAGTTTTCATTTTTGGGTGAACTATCCCTTTAAACACCGGTTTGACCAGTCATTGATAGTTTTGAGAAAAGCCCCTGCAGCATTTGAGCGCAGACAGTAATTTGCTTTGGTATTTTATATGTAATGCAACGATAATTCATACATGTAATGTGATCTACGTGGTCTTACAGTTGAAGAATGGGCTACTTATAAAGATCATTTATGTGTGTAATGGTCTCTCTGGTCTCAGGAAGCATGGCGTCAGTGTTGTCACAGCTGATGGGTCAGTGGATGGATGTTCAGGGACTCCTGATATTTCTGTGTGTGCTGCTGTTGGTGAAACACCTGCGAGATGTTCAGTCAAAGAACATGCCGCCAGGACCCTTCCCTCTGCCTTTCCTTGGAAACCTAATGAGTATAGGCTTTAGTGATCCAATGGAGGTTTTTCCGAAGGTATGTCTTTTTTCATATGCATATGTTGATTAAATGAGTTGTGTACAGTACATTTACATGTTGATCAGATTGCTGAGCGGTATGGAGATGTGAGCACATTTTATCTGGGAAACAAACCTTGCATACTGCTCACTGGATACGAGACTTTCAAAGAGGCATTTGTGGAACAGGCGGACATCTTCACAGACCGGCCGTACTTCCCTGTGAATGACAAAATCTGTAACGGGAAAGGTAAAAAACAGCTAAAAGAACACCGTACACCATTTTACACGTTAAAATGTTCAAAAACATTAAGTCTGTTATCAATCATAAACTGCTCACCAATTCATCTTTTTGTGGAACGTCAGGAAACATCTTGTAATTTGCCTTTTATTCAAAGCGTTATATGGACCTTCAGACACAACAAATTTGTTTATTTTTGCTGATACTGAACTGAAATGTTAGTGTTGTTGTTGTTGTTGTTGTACGAAATATCAATATTATTGCTATCATTTTCAATCAGTGCACCAGAACTGTTGTATAATTGGTAAAATTACCTTTTGCAGTTGCTTGAATAGCAAGCTTTGTCATTGAAAACATGCAGAACTGTTCGTGACATACATTCTGTAGATCGTTACAGTGATCCTGGATTTAATGTAACGTGAGAAATTGAATTTTCCTGTCTCTTGAAATAAGGAAGTTCATTCATTTAGTACTATGAGAACTTAGTTTCAGAATTCAAAACTCCCACGTGACCTTATATTCGAAATATATGATGCAAAATGTTTACTAAGAAATCCATGAAAACCACATTGGTTAACACATGACTGCCTACATTTACACGCCAACAATTTGAAGGATCCAGGAGCGCAAATATTAGAACCAGCAGCAAATTCGCAGGCCACCATAAATAATAGATGTTACCAATTACATTTGTAAAAAGGGTTTTTACATAGCCTCAATGCAATGCACTTCCGCAATCATAGATTTTGCTCTTTTTGTCTCTTTGTATGTAGGTCTGATCTTCTCCGGTGGGCACATGTGGCGTCAACAGAGGCGTTTTGCTCTGGCAACACTGAAGTATTTTGGTGTGGGCAAGAAAACACTAGAAAACTCCATCCTGCAGGAGTGTCTCTTTGTCTGTAGTACTTTTCAAACCAAGCAAGGTCAGAGCACCATTTCTGCCTGAATTCAAACATCTGAACAGGCTACCAGTACAGTATACTGCTCTCTACAGGCGAAGATCTGAAAGTACGGTTTGTAGCCGTAACCATTCTTCCTCTCTTTTGCTTTCCAAGGTTTGCCATTCAATCCTCATCACATCTTGAACTATGCAGTGGGCAATATAATATGCAGCCTGGTTTTTGGCCACAAGTTTGAGTATGACAACCATCATTTTCACGAGCTGTTGCAGTATTCAGATGACACCTTCAAGCTTCCCATCAATGTCTGGGGCCGGGTACGAGACCAAATTTACTATAATGGACTTTTTTCACAAAAGTCCTCCTATTATGCTATTTTAAAAGCTCCAGATTTTGCTTTAAGCCTCCTAGAATAGGCTTACATGATTCCAAGGTCAGAAAAACGTACATTTTCTCATAATATACACTGCAGCATCAGCTCTTTTCTCTCAGTGTCTGAATTAGTTCGATAAAGGATTGTCTTTCTAAACTCCTCCTTTCCGAGAGCCTGTTCTGCTCTGATTGGGCAGTTGGTCGACCGCTTGCAGTGCATGTCAAAAACCAAATGTCCATTTATAAATACAGTATCTGAATTTCAGCTCTGATCTTCCTCAGCACTTGATAGACAGTGATACGAACAGTAACGATGGCATCGGTTTTACCGTTTCAATTCCCGCGCGAATCCTCGTCCATTTAAAGTGGATTTGCTTTCGCAGTGCAGAAAATGGCGTCTTCTCGACCTGTCGACAACATGAACCAAACTCTTCCAGGAACATATTTTAAAAAAAATCATGATTATTGTTATGTTGACTACGAAGCGAGATCAATGGTACTGAAGACTGCAAAGATTGATGAAATACTGATGATCAAATGTATTTGTCCCTCAACAGCTGTATAACACGTTTCCCGCCGTGATGTCATTGCTGCCAGGAAAGCACCAGACTGCATTTGCCAACCTTTCCAAGCTGAAGCTCTTTTTTCAGGATGAAATCAGGAAGCACAAAGAGGACAGAAACCCTTCCTGTCCTAGAGACTACATTGACTGTTATCTGGATGAAATTGAGAAGGTAACCGGTTTTAGCAGATCCTGGCATAATGATTTCAGGAAATCTTCTCTTCTGATTTAGAGTTTTTGTAGACTGATGATTCATGCCTTTCAAATGAAATCAAGTGAACTCAAAGGATACTTTGGCGCACAAAACGCATCCCATATTTTTACTTTGCATTTACCTGTTTTTAGAAATGCTCTAGTCATCTCTTTTTAACCCCTCTTTTTAACTAAGTCCATGGTTGATTCCCAGTGTAAGGACAGTGAGGCAGAGTTCACAGAGGAGAACCTGATACACTGTGTGTTGGATCTGTTTGGAGCCGGAACAGAAAGCACTGCTAAATCACTCAGCTGGGCTTTACTCTACATGGCCAAGTATCCAGATGTGCAAGGTGGGCGGCTCTGCTCATATGACTTTCTTGTTAGTCAAATGTGTAAATGTGTGTCCACATACTCTGCATGTTCACTTTCCATAGAGAGAGTCCAGTCTGAGATCGATCAGGTGATTGGACAGACGCGTCAGCCGTCGATGGAGGACAGGACACATCTGCAGTACACCTACGCTGTGATCCATGAAATTCAGAGGTTCGCGAATGTTCTTGCCTTCATTCCACCGAGAGTTGCCAGCAGAGACACCACAGTAGCAGGATGCCTCATTCCAAAGGTAAAGCATTTTTCTAAATCAATTTTTTTAAAATTTTTTAATTTTAATAATTTTGCCTGTGTTAATGCCAGTTGCCGACTGTATACATTTTGGCAGAAGTGTGTATTTTTTATTGGAATTTTAATATTTCATCCTCATTTCCTTTAATAAATCTATTTTACACTGGCAACACAAAATAGTTACACTTAAGACCTAAAGGACAACATGTCCCCATTGAAACCCATTAAAACTATAATTTTTAATCCCGGGGCCATTTAGCTATAAAGTGTGTGTATATGTATATATATTTATTTATTTTTAACCAGATGCTGCCATTTTATAAAGCTTTGCTGGGATCTAATGGGGAAAAAATATGACACCGCACCCAAGCTTCAAATTTGTGTCTTTTTTTTTTTGCTACTGACATTTTTGTCCTCTAAAGACCTCAGAGTAATTATTTTTAAATTGACGCACAAGGGTTACATTGGGTGAACGTACAGTTTTTTTTTAAAACAATATATTATACCGATAACATGATTCTATTTCAGTAAACAAACACTTTGTTTAATGTTCTTAAAATTTATTATGTTTTGTCCTATGACAGGGCGTGATGGTGCTGCCGATGCTGAAGCCAATCCTACAGGATAAGAATGAGTACAGCACTCCGGATGAATTCAATCCTGCACACTTTCTGGATGAAAATGGCAAATTTTTGAAGAGAGAAAATTTCATCCCCTATTCAATAGGTAGGTCACAAGGAATATAAACTTTAACCAAAATAATAAATACATGCACACATACTGTGGGGTGTATGTATGTGTGTGGTCACATTCATGTGCGCCGAAAATACTCTAGAGCCCTTTGCTTCTGTTATCGCTATAATGACAAATTTGGTGTCAAAGTGTACATTTGTGGGGTCAAGGAATCCAATAAAATTGGTTTCAAGTTTAAAAAAAAAAAAAAAAATCCCCATACCATGACAATTGGGGGTAAATATGCACATTTCACATAAAAATTGTGTCATCAGAGTGACTTTATTTATCTTTTCGTTCAAAAACTTTAATTTTGTATTTAAGCAGTGCAGCTACTTCTGTACATTACATTTGTCCTAAGTAGCATGAGATTTCGACTAGTCATTAGACTATAGCAAATCAGTTCCTGCAACAACACATCCCATCTGCACCAGGAGCTGTGACAGCTGTTGAACGTCAGAGGTGACAGGTTAACACTTTGAGGTTCGTATGACTTTCTCATTAAATAGAAAAACGTTTTTAATGTTAGATAACTAATAGCTAGCTAGTTGACTATGGAAAAAAAAACCTCAGAAGGAAAACTTCTTTTTGCGAGAATACTGAAGCCAAAAATTATCTTTTATAATTTGTATTAATTTAAAACGCACTTGCTGCAGCTAGCAGACCAAGGCGAGGCAGCTCTCGCGCCTATTGGCTGCTCTGCGGCAACTGCTCCAACCTATCGAGGGACTGCTCGTGACCTAAGCACCAATGAGGGCGCAGGCTATGTTTCGAGGCAGCTAGACCTTTAGATCGGCCACCAAACAAAACAAAGAGCTGTCCTGACCGTCTGAAAGCAGCAAACGTTCCACGTAAATTCTCAGGGCCCTAACCGGGCAAAGGAGATTCACGTCAGACTCGCTGTCAGATCCGAAGAGGGCTGACAGGGAGATGACTTGCGCTCTGAAAGGAGTGGCAAGTACTTTGGGGACATAACCATGTCTTGGTTTGAGGATGACCTTGGAGTCATTAGGCCCAAACTCAAGGCACGACACGCTAACAGAAAGGTCCCATATGGGAACCGAGGGGGGACGAGGAGGGTTCATCCTTCTAGCTCCCCTGAGGAAGCGGACTGCAAGGTCGTTCCTACCCAGTGACTGGCCATGCGAATGTTTGACAAACGCAGCAATAGCCGCCACCTTGAGCGTGGATGGGGATCTACCCTTATCCAAGAGCTCCTGTAGGAAGGAGAGAACCTCTAACACCCCACAATCTTCGTGGATCCAGGTTGCGAGCTGAGCACCAACCTGAGAACACTGACCACTTGGAAGTATAAAGCCGTCTAGTAGAGGGCGCTCTAGCTTGCGTAATCGTGTTTAACACTTCGTCAGGGAGACTGACGGGTACCCGTTGATGGCCCACACATGCAGAGCCCAAAGCTCGGGTCGTGGATGCCAAATCGTACCCCTGCCCAGTGAGAGGAGATCTCTCCTCAACGGGACAGGCCACGGAGCCAAACTCTGAAGCTGCATCAGCTCCGGAAACCAAACTTGGTTCGGCCAGAACGGAGCTACTAGAAGCACAGAGGAACCGTTCTACCTGATACGCTTGATTACCTGTGTTAACAGCGTGATCGGAGGGAAAGCATAGAGAGGGCGGCTGGGCCAGTGATGGGCCAGCGCATCCATGTTCTTTGTGAAGCATATTGGACACTGACGCAAAGAGGTCGACTTCCGCTGTGCCAAAGGTGCCCCACAACAGCTGAACTGTCTGAGGGTGGAGGGACCATTCCCCTGGGGAACGTTGTCCCTGGACAGCCTGTCTGGACCCACATTCAGATGGCCTGGCACATGCGCCGCTCTCAGCGAGAGTAGGTTGCGCTGAACCCGTACAAGGAGGCGTTCTGCCAGTGCATGAAGGTTCAGTGATCTCAGACCGCCCTGGCGATTTATGTAGGAAACCACTGACATGTTGTCCGTGCGGACAAGGACATGGTGGCCCTTTAGAAGGGGAAGGAAGAACCGCAAGGCATTCTCGACAGTTTATGTGCAAGCTCTTTTCTTGGCTTGACCACAGGCCAAAAGTCGGTCTGCCCTCGTAAAGGCGTCTGTCGAAACCATTTTCAGTTCCGAGATTACCCCCAGGTTTACACCTGTCTGATACCAGTCGGCCGCCTTCCAGGGCTCCAGAGCTGTGACACAGTTCTGAGTTACCTTGAGACGTAAACGACCGGATGCCCGTGCTCGACGCAGAACCCGCGTCTTCAGCCAGTGCTGTGAAGGGCGCATGCGAAGCAGACCTAAACGAAGAAATTATTAAGTTGTGAATGGACTGTGTGTTTGGCATGCGTTTTTTAATAAAAAATTGCATACTTCACTTCCAAGTGTCATGGTAAGGACAACATTATTGTTTTTTAGTCTTGGAAGCTATTTTATTGGACTCCTTGACCACAAAAATGTACACGTTGATACCAAATTTGTCATTATAGCTATAACAGAAGCAAAGATATGGGCCTCTCAAGTATGGTCGGCGGCCATTTTAAAAAAATGTGCGTATATAAGATAAGATCTCACTTGTGTCTTAGGATAAATTTATTTCTATGGCCCTAAGGTACTTCCATACCAAAGGGGACCTTTGCATCATGACTTGAAGTCAAAAGTCACTTAGCCTCCCGACTAACATCTTTAATCTCTTAATGCGTCCTTGCTGAATACAATGTAAAAAGAAGTTACTGACCCAACACTTTTGAATGGTAGTGTATATAAACTAATGTACTCTAAAATGAGATTTGATAAAGTTCACCTCCGCTTTACTGATCCAGACCTTGATTTCCAGGTAAGAGGATGTGTCCAGGTGAGCAGCTCGCTGGAATGGAGCTCTTCCTCTTCTTTATCTCGCTGATGCAGCGTTTTACCTTCCTGCCTCCTGAGGGACAAACGCTGAGTCTCAAAAGAACAGTTGCCATCGCTTCTGCTCCTGAACCTTTCCATATTCGTGCTGTTCCTCGATAATGCCACACTATTGCAACCTAAAATAAAGAATCGCCTCATTAAAGCACATTGATGAAGTACAGATAACCATTTCTTTCTCTGGTAAGAAAGAAACTTATCATTTATTTGATAAGTTGCCTTGTAATAAGCAGGTAATTTTGCCAGGTTCGTTGATGGTACCTTTTAACCCTTTATGTATAATTAAAATCGGACACTTGTTATGAGATTAAAATTTTGATTCCTCTTTTTGATTTCTCTGTGTGCATTTTAATTAAACCATTCAAGTGCAAGAGAACCTGTGTGCTGTTTCCTGTGCTGCGCGCACGCCAATACTGAACTGAGTTCTCTTCCACGTCTTTTTGCACAAATACACACAAAAATGTCACAATATCCACATAAACAGTCGGTTATGTCTTAATTATGTCTCAACATAAACAGTTGAGAAGGAAAACTCTGTGTAACAGTATAATGGGTCCGTGCATCAGGTCTTTATTCAGGTTTATCAGGCTGCAGTCACTTTGTGTCATTAATGTTAATCAAACAACAAAAGAGAAAATGTATTATTTTATTGACTATAATTATAATGTATATTTTATTTATAAAGTGGTGTTATTTTACATTTGATTAGTTTCTGTGGATACCTGAAAACAATGTTAATTTCCATCATATCTTTGTCTAGTTGCATTTGTTTGTGTGATTTGCTAGTTTGTTTGTTTTTTTAATCACACATAACTTTAATAATGCTTGAAATTTAAGCTAGTTGTTTTTGCTGTGGTATTTTTAAACCACAGGCAAAAGTTCCCTGTGTAAGTGTTTTTAGCCTGTTAATTTTTGTTCAACTGCAATGAAATGTTTTGCAGAAATAATATTTAGGATAATTGTGAATAACTGATTTTTTTTTTTTTTTACCTAATTGGAATCTAAACTAGGAATCGATAAGTATCATAATCGATACGCAGAATCAGAATTGTTAAAATTCAAAGATTTCCCAAAAATGAGGAATATCATGACGTACATTCACAGAGGAAAACTCAAGACTACAATGGAGGCGTTTCAGGGGAACAGAAACACTGATATAGAGAAGAACCAATGCTTGAGGGACTTTGAAACTTTACAGAGCTTTTTCATGCTCAAACAGCAACATTACACACTAAAGAAAGAACATGTAAAAAAAACCAACGCATTCTCATCCTTTGGCGTCATATGTGACGCCATATGACATTTCGTCGACATCTTACGCACATGGCATCCTTTAGCGTCAATATAACACGCACTCTTATGGGTAGGTTTAGGTCTGGGGTAGGGTACGGTTATGACGCCTTGGGATCTGCGTCTCATATTCACGCTAAACGATGCCATGTGCGTTGGATTTAGACGGGCGTCACCTGTATGACGCCTTGGGTTCTGCGTCTCATATTGATGCTAAAGGATGCCATGTGCGTAAGATTTCGACGAAATGTCCAAAGCGTCACATGTATGATGCCAAAGGATGAGAATGGGCTGAAAAAAACATGAAAGGAAAAACTCTTTAAGTAACATTACAGAAATAAACCATCCACACATTTTCTTTGTAAATTTTTTATTTTCCATTTGATATTTCTTTATAATTCTAAACTTTTGCAATACAATTCTGCTTCATTATTCTTGACAGAAGAACCCGAGGACTGAAACATCGCAGTCCAACATAATCACAGCTTTCTGTCAGTTAGTGTCAGTTGATCACAAGCCGGCGTGCAGCTCACGCTCTTCCACTTATTGACTGGGAATGAGACGGACACTTGATCTCCACATGGTCTCCTGTCTTCATCCTGGATGAGCGTCTGGACTCCATGATCATGGCATGACGTCAGGTCGCTGCAGGGGTTGTGCTGACAAACTGGCTTGAAGCAGCCGTACACCTGCTGTCCACACACTCCACTGCACTTACAGTCATCCTGGAGGACGACAGCCTTACGACCACAGCATGTCTCACAGCTGCAAGAGTTCCTGCCAACAGCAGCGCAGCTCTTCACTTTACTGCAGTCGCACTGGAGTTTAACGGCCGGGGAACGGCCCACCTGACAACAGTCGTTGATGGCTGACTGATCACAAGACATAGTGTGAGCTGAAACCATTGAGAGGAGAGATTGATGAATACCAAGAAAACACACAATCACCTGAAGGCAATGGTCATTATTTAAAAATGAGATGGAAGTAAAGAGTTGAGTTGAATACTTACATGTGTTCAGTCTTGAGTTATTGCACTCGGAGTAAGTCTCTTCTCTCGCTCTGGTGTTTCTCTCCACTGCAGTCCGGTATATATTCCCCTCTTCATCTCCACCCCGTCCACAGCTCAGAGCTGAAGAGTGTGAAGAATTTCCCCGTCTCATGCATTGGGAGGGAGTGTTTAGTGTTTATGATGAGTCGCACTTAATTAATTATAAGTACAGCATTAGTACAATCTTTACAGCGTATTATAATAGAAAGTGTCATTTATCACAATTGGAATGGATGTTTACTAAAACTGAGTTAAAAGCAGTTTAAGAAACAGCACGTGTAGAATCTCCATGTTATGCAATAGTAAATACCGTTTGGCAAGAGCAAACTTTTATTTATGAATACGATCATAGAATGTATAGTCATTCTGTTATGTTGGATTCACACACTTCATAAGGCCCCCTTTTTCCCCTTGGTATTAAGATGTGTTTTGGTCGATCAGATCACAAGTGGACGACGCTAAATACAGTTCGGTGTAAACAGGGTCTAAAACGTTTTGAGCTTGTCCACTTTCAACCACTTCCAGAGATAGATGAAAACACATTCGACTGGATTGCTTTCGTAGTGTAAACGCTCATGTAAATGTGTTCAGCCACAAATTAACAATTTAAACTATGACTGGAGACCCAAGTTTGGTTTGAAGATGAAAAATGTACCAAGAACAATGTTCTCTCACCATTCCTGATTTCTAACACTCATTGCTGCTCTCTGTATATTTTTCAGTCGTCTCCGGTCGTGTTCATATGTAAAGTGCATGAGTTTATTTTGTCCATTAGATCAAAAGATCTGAAAAAAATATATATACATTTGTCCTAGACCTTACCATGGAAGAAATCAGGACAGAAGTGGTTTAAAGTGGACAAAAGAGACGGATTAAAACACCCGGTGTAAACAGGAATGTGTCTCCTCTGATCCGATCGACCAAAACGCATCTTAATAGCAGGTGTAAACAGGGCCTTAGAGACATAAAATCAAGATGTTAGTTGGTTCATTTGTCTGATTTAATTCTGTAAGGTCAGCTGAGGGATATTTTTACTTCTTGTTAAACCTTTCCCGTTATCACTGGAATGACTCTCACTTGTGCAATGCTAAAACACTTATCTAAAGTTAAATACGGCAAGTGAAACAATCTTTTTCTCTTACGTAGCACTGTAAAAAAATAGGCCTATAGTGTATTTAAGTTTAAGTAAATTACACTTAATTCTATACACTAAACCCGCCCTTGCATGACACATTAAATTCTTCAGCTCTGAGCTGTGGACGGGGTGGAGATGAAGAGGGGAATATATACCGGACTGCAGTGGAGAGAAACACCAGAGCGAGAGAAGAGACTTACTCCGAGTGCAATAACTCAAGACTGAACACATGTAAGTATTCAACTCAACTCTTTACTTCCATCTCATTTTTAAATAATGACCATTGCCTTCAGGTGATTGTGTGTTTTCTTGGTATTCATCAATCTCTCCTCTCAATGGTTTCAGCTCACACTATGTCTTGTGATCAGTCAGCCATCAACAACTGTTGTCAGGTGGGCCGTTCCCCAGCCGTTAAACTCCAGTGCGACTGCAGTAAAGTGAAGAGCTGCGCTGCTGTTGGCAGGAACTCTTGCAGCTGTGAGACATGCTGTGGTCGTAAGGCTGTCGTCCTCCAGGATGACTGTAAGTGCAGTGGAGTGTGTGGACAGCAGGTGTACGGCTGCTTCAAGCCAGTTTGTCAGCACAACCCCTGCAGCGACCTGACGTCATGCCATGATCATGGAGTCCAGACGCTCATCCAGGATGAAGACAGGAGACCATGTGGAGATCAAGTGTCCGTCTCATTCCCAGTCAATAAGTGGAAGAGCGTGAGCTGCACGCCGGCTTGTGATCAACTGACACTAACTGACAGAAAGCTGTGATTATGTTGGACTGCGATGTTTCAGTCCTCGGGTTCTTCTGTCAAGAATAATGAAGCAGAATTGTATTGCAAAAGTTTAGAATTATAAAGAAATATCAAATAAAAAGAAAAAATTTACAAATAAAATGTGTGTATGGTTAATTTCTGTAATGTTACTTAAAGAGTTTTTCCTTTCATGTTTTTTTACATGTTCTTTCTTTAGTGTGTAATGTTGCTGTTTGAGCATGAAAAAGCTCTGTAAAGTTTCAAAGTCCCTCAAGCATTGGTTCTTCTCTATATCAGTGTTTCTGTTCCCCTGAAACGCCTCCATTGTCATCCTGAGTTTTCTTCTGTGAATGAACACGTCACAATATTCCTCATTTTTGGGTAATCTTTGAATTTTAACAATTCTGATTCTGCTTATCGATTATGATACTTATCGATTTCTAGTTTAGATTCCAATAAGGTAAAAAAAAAAAAAAAGTCGGTTATTCACAATTATTCTAAATATTATTTCTGCAAAACATTTCATTGCAGCTGAACAAAAATTAACAGGCTAAAAAACACTTACACAGGGAACTTTTGCCTGTGGTTTAAAACTACCACAGCAAAAACAACTATCTTAAATTTCAAGCATTATTAAAGTTATGTGTGATAAAAAAAAAAAAAGAACAAACTAGCAAATCACACAAATAAATGCATCAAGATATGATGGAAATTAACATTGTTTTCAGGTATCCACAGAAACTAATCTAATGTAAAATAACACCGCTTTATAAATAAAATATCCATTATAAATATAGTTACAAAAGTTATTCAGTCAATAAAATATTACATTTTCTCTTTTGTTGTTTGATTAACATTAATGACACAAAGTGACAGCAGCCTAATAAACCTGAATAAAAACCTGATGCACGGACCCATTATACTGTTACACAGAGTTTTTTTTAAACTGT